AGAATCAAGATGGCAGGATAGGGTAAGGACATGTTTAAATGGACAGAGAAACATTAGCCAGTGCGAAGCAGAGAGGTTACATTCCAGCAAAGAGGAGAGGACAGATTGACAGCAGAGGGGTACCTGGAAACTGACAGACACAGGAAGGAAACGAAAACAATAGTGTAGTGCTTCAGCGACCAATACCCAGCGGCATTCAGCGAGCAGCAGCCGCAACTCCACCAGCAACAAGGTGGGAGGGGTGTTCACCAAGAACTCAGAAGGTGAACCCATACAAAGAACTACTTGTCCTGCTGGTCCATTTGATTTGACCAGAAGCAGAAACAGAGCAGCAGGTCCCAGGTGGCCGGTGCAGGAACAGGGTAGATTTCACAGCTCAGTTCGCCCCCTAGAGCTAAATTAGGTGCCATTTTGTGTGGGGGGACAAAGACTGTGGGACAGGACTGCACATGCACTGAGTTGGGAGTGAACTCATTTCTGGCTCGGTGAGCTGAACCAACGTGGCATCCTACCAGTTCTACCCAAGATAGATCCAGGTAGCCTTCAGACCTGAAGGCCAGCAGATCAAAAACTCTGGTAGTGCCACCTCAGGTGCTATTCTGTACAGTGTGGAAAAACTTTAAGATTGCAGGAACAACAATGAGCTGCTCATTTGCTGAGCTGGGAGTGAACTCACAGAGCTCAGTGCATTGCACTCATCCCACATCAAAAATAATACCAACTTTGGCATCATATGGATCAAAATAAGTCCATTTGGCCCTCAGTCCTAATGGTCAACAGGTTCCAGCAAGATTACCACCAACAACAACTTAGCTATATAGGACAGCTGGTGTCACCCTAACCCTGCTCAAACCAAAAGTGAGAGAAAGGTTGTACAGACGATGGCCCAGCCTCAACATGGAATCACAGGAGGTGGAGAGTGGTGAGCCAGGAGCTGGGGCTACAGAGACCATGGTTGAAGTCTAACTAAGAACCTAGACCTGGCACTCGCTGGAGGGAGTGACACAGCAACGATAAACAAAGAGCCATGAGCTAACTGCAATAAGTAAAGTCAAATTGTAAACCTGTGGGTGACACAGCTTAGAAATCTGCCCCATGCTAAAGAATCTGATAACGAGAAGTACAATGACCAAAAGCAAAAGAAGAAACAAAGGTACAATGAATATTGCTGAATACTCCCTTGCAAAGGAACAAAACCCTATGCCAGCTTCAGAGTTAACTGAGCAAGACATTGAGAAAATGAGGGATACAGAATTCATAGCATTGTTCTAAAGCTTATTATCAACAATGAGAAGCACGTAAAGCAGGCATTCGTGGAATTCAAGGAATATGTCACACTGGAAATGAATCAAATGAAAACTGATATATCAGAAATAAAGAATACTATGGAGCAAATTAAAAGTGCAGTGGAGAATCTCTAACATAGAATGAAAGAATCTCAAAATTAGAAGATATTTCCTATCACCAGGGGGAAACAAACAAAAAGCTGGAAGCAGAGCCGGATCAAGCTAAAAAAAAAAAGTATTCAAGAACTGACACTTTTAAAAGGCCAAATAGGAGTTATGTGAATCCCAGAAGGTGCAGAAAGAGAAACTGGGTTTAAAAATGTGTTTAATGAAATAATAAGGGAAATTTTCCCTAATCTAGAAAAAGAATTGGGAAACAACGTGCAGAAAGGGCACAGAACTCTCAACAGGCTTGACCAAAAGCGATCTACACCAAGGCACATGATCATCAAGCTCTCTTCAATCGAACCTAAGGAAAAGGTCCTTAAACGTGCACGTGAAAAAAAGTCAACTGACATATAAAGGAATGCCAATTAAACTCACAGGAGACCTCTCACAGGAAACTCTACAGGCAAGAAGAGAATGGAGTGACATATTCCAGATTCTAAAACAAAAAGCTGTCGACCCAGGATAATGTTTGCAGCAAAGTTTTCCTTTGTCTTTAAAAATGAAATAAAATTCTTCCACAGTAAAGTTAAAATAATGAGTCTTTCAAACCTGCCCTACAAATGATACTTCAAGATGTTCTCTTGACAAAATGAATAGCACCCACCAAAATCAAAGGCAAATGTGAACCACATCCCAGTAAAATGACAACAGAAGACTAAATCAATCACTGAACGAACCATTGCTAAATGACAGGACCAAATTGCCACCTATTTATATTACCCCGAACGCAAATGGCTTAAACTCATCAATCAAACGTCATAGATACTTGACTGAACTAAAAAAACAAAATCCATCTATTATTGCCTACAGAAGATACATCTCACGAACAAAAAGAAGTGGAAACTATATCTCACGGATTTTGATATAATTTCAATTTAGTTTCATCTCTTCAAATGCAATTTCTTTCTCATTATATTCTTCAATGACTCATACATCATTTTCTTCAAGAAGAGTCCCACTGGCATACATTTGGCATGGGTTGGGGGCGGACCAGGCTGAATCAGTTCAGGTTATCCACTGACAAATCCGAACGCCGGAGCAGAGTGTGGGTCGAGCCAGGTTCAGTTGCGACAAAAGCAGTACACAACACAAAATGCCAAGGTGAGGCTGCCTGTGCCAGATGTGACCGCAGTACCCAAGCAGCACACGTGAGAATCAGGAAGGGAGGGGCAGAGCCAACAGGGGAATAAGAGGTGGTTCCATTGCTGGAAAGCATGGAGAGCGTGAGCTGGGAAAGGGATAGACCAGACTAGGCAGGGCTGCAGCACCTGTGCACTAATGTGGACCAGATCAGGGAAGAGTCAGGATGGGCAGAGTATTCCTACTGGTGCTAACAAAACTAGAGTGGGTGACAGCAGTTGGGGCTTAACCGTAGCAGAAGCTGGCACTAGGGGCTAATACTGTCAAGTCAAACCACAAGGACACCTGAAGAGTGCATAATCCTGGAGTGAGAGACCTGGGAGGGAAATAGTGGGCTCCTCCCTCTTGGGTTACCACTCCCACGGGAGGGCACAAAATAACTAGGACAGGGGCTGGGGTGGCTAGACAGAGAGACACCCAACAATATCCATGAGGGCTGGATAGTTGAGCTGGTTGGATGGAACTAAGCTCCAATACCCATTGACATGTACGAGAGCCAAATGGGATATGGGGCAAATTGAACTAGTCTGCTACACGTACTGGCAAACCAGGGTAAGGGTAGGCCTGGTAGAGGTTATTGGGGGTCGCTCCAACTAGGCTGCAGCTCCCACTGGTTTGTGTGATGGGTCGTGTGCTGGGCAGAACCAGGATGGACTGCAACACCCATTGGTTCCAGTGGAAGTCGGGGTTGAAGACGGAACCAACCCATCAATTACAACCACCAGCTGATGGGGAGACGCACTGTGCCAGGTCCTGTACTTGCTAGTACATATAAGAATCTGGTCTGGGAACACCTCAAAGTTTCACTGGGGATCCCCTCAATCAAAATGGCAGACTCAGAACCCTAACCAAGAAAAGACGGAAGATAGAACAGGTCAATCAACCACCACAGCTATATGTTGGCAGCGAAACACTAGACAAAGGGAGACTCTATGATGGACTATGTCAATCAGTAGATCTTTCAACAGCCTCATCGTGCCTGGCGAGATTGGTAGTGATGCATAATTGGTAAACTATCGGGAACACTAAAGCAAGGATCTCAGAGCACGCTCTACATGCGGGACCTAGGGTGGGTGGGAGACTGGGTGGGGCTTCTCCTTCAATATTCCCTTTAGCCCTTGTAACTTTTTACCCTAATCAACAATGTAAAGATTGCCAAAATACAATAAAAAAAAAGTTATTACTTTTTTTTTCATTTCTTTAGCTCCATGTCCGGCCCAAGAAAAGAAATCTTTAAACACTCATATGTCCCTTCTCCAATGGCATATTTGCCAGGCTGCTTGTAGTTGTCCCAAAGTGCAATCATGCTCGGCTTACTTTCTAAAATTATGTTTTATCTCTGTATTGCACTTCATTGATATTTTCTTTTCTAATGTTTAATTTCCTGTTAATACCATCCAGTAGGTTTTTCACTGCAGGTAAGATAGTTTTCATCTCTGCAAGTATGATTTCAGACTTATTTACACCTCCCATGTCTCATTTCTGAACATATGGAATATAGCTATTGTAACTGTTTAGTGGTAATAGCTTCCTAATTGCTAATTCTAACACTGCATAAATTCTGGGACAAGTGCAATCAACTTATTTTTATTCTCATTATTTTCCTCCTGCTTTGCATGTCTGGTAATTTTGATTGGAAAGCAGATTGTGAACTTTATTAATGATTTGCTGGATCTTTTTCTCTTGCTATAAATCTTGAGTTTTGTTCTCATTAATACAAGCTAGTTACTTGGAAACACTTTGGTCTCGGGTGGTCTTGCTTGTTAGCATCTGTTTGGCAGAATTTGAACACGACTGAGTCCAGGGTTAGAAATTCCCACACCACAGAGGCAACACTCTTGTGTATACCCAGCCCAGATGTATGAACCACAGGCTTACCAGGCTAGCTGGCAGGAAGAGGCACTAGACCAAGTTTGGTAGGTGTCAGACAGCATGCTTTGCCATTATCTTTCCAGGCTCCTCTCCCAGCCTTGAGTAGTTTCCACATAACATATGTGCTCACCACTCTACTGGAGATTTACTGGGGAACCCACAGCGAGCTTCAGGTATATCCTGTACAGCATGCACTCTGTCCCACAAGCTAAGGCCTTGATGGCCCATGACTCTCAGCTCCATCTTTTCAATTAAAGGAGTCCATCAGGCTGCACTTAGTGTCCCCCCAACCCCAACCAAGTGGGGCTTGGCACTTCCTTTTGGCATTCAGGTAAGGCAGCCACAGGCCCCACCACCTTGCATCCTGTGTCTTATGGATCACTGCCCTTTGTTGCAAACATCCAGTGTCTCTATCTATTGTCATCTAGAGGGTTTATGTCAGATGCTAAGTTAAGGCCTATCCCTGTATCCCAGCTAGAACCAGAGGCATCCATCAAAGAGAAACGAAAGCCACAGAAGATAATGATTGCTTACCTGATTAATGTATCATCATCCACAATGACCAACCATGCTATTTTGTCATTGCTATGATTTAAAAATCTTTCCAAAATGGCAAATGTCTTTCCACAATGACCTAAGAAAGACAAGAAGAAAATGCAGTTTTCGGGTATTATAAGAACATGGATACTACACATGCCTTAATAAATTCAAATTTTAAAAACTAGCTTTCTCTAATGCTTACAGATGAGGTCAACCAGCAGGAACTTGGAGACCATCAAGTCTAAGCCATTCACTTCACACATTAGGAAATAGAGATGGCAGGGGACTTGCACAAGGCTACCCAGAATCACCTGATATACAAGAACCAAGATAAACTTCTCCACAGAACAAGATAAACAGCTTGCCACTTTTATTGCTTTACTTAAAAAAAGAAATACAGAACCACAGAACAAAAGAAAATGCAGCAAGAACACTGGGTAAGAATTAAGATGAACAGAAGCATCTGAAAATGAGGTGTTCAAGTTTCCACTTCTACATCTTAAAATTTAAAACAAAACAAACAAAAAAAAACTCTCAAAAACCTGAAGAGAAAGGCAGGTGTTTCCAACTTCCTATTCATTAACACAATAAAACACATGATAATGTATTCCTCATATTAACTCAATTGGAAACTGGTTAAGTGCTATTTAGAGATACAAATAAAGTGAACTAGACTTTAAGACCTGTGAGGACAGCAGCTTTGTGTGGGGAAGATAGGCAACCAATTTTGCACATCTCGTTATGGCGACAACGAATGACAAAGGGATGAAAACCCTCTTGGGTCTGATGCCACGACTCAATTGGTTAAGTCTGCCCCTTCAAGTGCTGGGATCCCATCTGGGTGTTGGTTCTCATCCCAGCAGCTCCACTTCCCATCCAGCTCCCTGTTTGTGGCATGGAAAAGCATTCAAGGATGGCCTAAAGCCTTGGGACCCACATCCACATGGGAGACCTGGAGAAAGCTCCTGGATCCTGACCTCAAATCGGCTCAGCTATGGATGCTGCAGCCACTTAGGGAGTGAACCAGCAGATGGAAGATCTTCCTCACTGTCTCTTCTCTGTGTGAATCTGCCTTTCCAACATACATAAATACACACATACATATTTTTTAAAAAAAGAAAAAGAAGCCCTCCTGTTCAGCTCTACCATAACGTGACATGCTCAGTACTAAACAATGTATATTCCAACAAATGCACAACTCCTTGCTTGCGCCACAATGCTCTTAATGTGCTACAACCGGCCTGTATCGGTGGGAAAAGATGTTGAAATTGAAAAGAAGGAAAAAGAAAATTTACATGAGCTGCAAACTATACTAATGAGATACTTTGGTTTTATCCTAATTTAGTATGTTTACATAATGAGCATTTTTATTAGCATTTATTTGCTTGTTTGAGAAGCAAAAGGAAAACAGAAAGAGAAAAGAATTCCCATCCACAGACTCACTTTCCAAATGCCAGCAGTGGTCCCTGGCTGGGGCCAACACTGTGAGCCAGGAACTCCATCCTGACCTCACCCAGGATCTGGGGTCATCATCACTCCTGCCAGGGCATGCACCGAAGGGAAGCTGTTCTCCGGAATAGAGCAGTGTGTTAACTAAGACTTTCCCATACAGAGGGGGATGTCTGAATGACCAAGCCAAACAGTTGTTCCAGAATGAGCATTTTTAATAAGTGGAGTTGTAAGAACTGAGGACTCACCTCTCTCCGTATTAGGAATTCCCAAATCCACAGTGGGAATGGAAGTTTCTGCATAGTCACTATAGTATTCAATGAAACTTGCCTCTCTCTCCCAGGTCTGCTTTACAATAGGTACTGAAAGAAAAATCACAGGTGACAATCAGTGGCACAGTTCTACAGGGAAACCTTAAAAACAACACAGCAGCTTTGCTTCGAACCTGAGAAATGCCAACATTACTTGCTGGGGATAGCTCAGGGATAAAACACTCTTCATGAAGCATTTTTAAAATATATTTATTTGAAAGAATTTGAGAGAAAATAGCAGAGACCGAGAGCTTCCATCCACTGGTTCACTCTCCTAAGGGCCAAGGGTCAGGAGAGGCCAGGCTTCAAGCCAGGAGATTGAAACTCCACCGGGATCGCTCATGTGAGTGCAGGGGCCCCAAGTACCTTGGCCATCCTCTGCTGCTTTCTCATCCATTACCAAGGAGCTGGTGGAGCAACAAGGACCTGAACCGGCACTCACATGGAATGCTGGCATTGCAGGTGGCAGTCTAACCCACTGCCCCACAATGCTAGTTTCATTTTTAGAGGCATTGTTTCAGTACTCCTGGAGTCAAGAATTTACTATTCTTCGTGATAAATAACTTTCACATAATGAAAAACTCTCTCACTATACTGTTGTTTAAAAAAAAAAAAGATTTATTTTTATTGCAAAGGCAGATTTACAGAGAGAAGGAGAGACAGAAAGAAAGATCTCTGTCCATAGATTCATTCCCCAACTAGCCGCAATGGCCAGAGCTGAGCCAATCCAATGCCAGGATCCTGTTCCGGGTCTCCCACATGGGTGTAGGGTCAAGGCTTTGGGCCATCCTCCACTGCCTTCCCAAGCCACAGGCAGGAACTGAATGGGAACTGGAGGAGCCGAGACACTAACCAGCATCCATATGCAGCACATGCAAGGTGAAGATTTAGTTGCTAGGCTATTGAGCCAGGCTCTGTATCAATTGTGTTTAAATTATCTTTTCCCAGCCATCCACAGCCCACCAAACCTCACAGTCACAGGCATAAAGGTCAAGGACATAACTCAGGCTGCAACAAAGGACCTGGAGGCTGTGCAAGTTACGCTTCATTTTCTTCTCTTTAACTAATTTCCCCCACTAAAAGCTTTATTAAACAGCACTGATGATTCTTCTCAAGTCACTGATTTAAATGACAACAAAGTCAAAATCAAGTGTGAGCTTGCTCTGACTGTTTTACCGACCAACCTTTATTTTTTATTTTTTTTTTATTAATAAAATTTATTTTGACATTCTTTGCATAGTTAGTTAGAGTAAGAAGGTTCAAGGGCTACAGGAAAGTGGATAATACTAGTATGTTTTCCATATTGTTTCCTTCATGTTTAAAGGGGGGTATTAAGGGAGAAGGCCCACCCAATTTCCCACCCTCCCCAGGTCCTGGATATAGGGCATGCTCTGAGGTTCTTGCTCAAGTGGATTTGATATTGCAGCAGTTATGAATCGCTGTCAATCTTGCCACTCCAAGCACTATGAGGGCTTTGAAAAATCCACTGATGGACATAGTCCATCATAGCTGAGATGGTTGGTTGACCCGTTCTGTCTTCTCTCTTTTCTTCGTTAGGGTTCTGAGTCCAGCATTTAGATTAGGAAGATCTCCAAAGAAACTTCTTGTATGTGCTAACAAGTACAGGGCCTGGCACTGTCCATCGCTCCAATCAGCTGGTGGTTGTAATTGCTGGGTTGATTCTGTTTTCACTCCCGACTTCCACTGGAACCAATGGGTGTTGCAGTCCAGCCTGGTTCTGCCCCGCACATACTTGGCCCTCACATAAACCAGTGGGAGCTGCAGCCTAGTTGGAGCGACCCACAATAACCCCCACCAGGCCCACCCCCTACCCTGGTTTGCCAGTAAGTGTAGCAGTAATCCAGTCTGTCCCACACCCCATTCCACCCCAGCCGCTGTCTTAGTTTTATGTCTTCCTGTGGAACTGGTGACCCAAGAGGGATGAGCCCACTATTTCCCTCCCAGGCCTCTCCCACTCCCAGATTCCAGCTGATGCTGCGTCTAAGCCCAAACAAACCTCGCCCACTTTAATTTTGTTTGCACCAGTAGGAATAATCAGCCCAGCTCGTCTCCGGCTTTTCCCTGATCTAGTCCGCATGAGGCGCACAGGTGTGGTAGCTCTGCCTAGTCTGCCGACCAACCTTTAAAAACCGGAAATAGAAATTTTACAAACGGTAATAAATACGGTATGTTCTCACGTGATTTGTTCCCCAGCAACAGGCGTAGTGTGTAAACAAAAAGTGGTCAATAACAAGCAAAATGGGAGCTCTTGGAGTTCCAATAAGTAGCCTAGGACTATTTCTCAGAAATCAGCTTAAAGGATAGTTGAATTCATAATGTCAATTTTTCCTTTGGTATAAGACTGGTATTAGCAATACCAATCTTTATAACAAGCCCATTTGCAGATAGTAAGGCCTGAGGATGCTACAGCATCTAAGGCATTCAACAGTTTGTACTGTTCCTCCCTTCATCATGAAAAAGAACGAAAAACTAAGGAAAAGTCTTCTGTACCAACAGTCTAACCTATCTCTTCAAATCAGGGTTAATTCTGGATTAACTAACCTTTAAACATATTCATCTTTTTTCATTAACATTGTTTTAATTCTAAACTAAATTCATTCTAATATTTGTAAAGCATATTACATTATCCTGAAGCCTTGTATTCCTAAAGATATTAAACATTAAGAAAATGCAAGGGTACTTTTGAAAGTTAGTGGGAAATGGAATTAAAATATAAATTGATTTTGGTGCAAATAATTCGAAAAGCCACAGTTTTTCTCATAACATGCATTTTCCATATGTTTTTGAGGCCCCCCTTCATATTTCAATGAGGTGACATGATATATTACCTTACTGCCAATCAAGAAAGACCTAATTTCTACTACATGATTAAAAATAAGAGTAGTGCCTGGAGCAAGACCGTAGTGGTTAAAGGTCCTCGCTTTGCACGCCTGGATCCCATATGGGTGCCAGTTCTAATCCAGGCTGCCCTGCTTCCCATCCAACTCCCTGCATGTGGCCTGGGAAAGCAGTTGAGGACAGCCCAAATCTTTGGGACTCTGCACCTGCATGGGAGACCCGGAAGAGCTCCTGGTTCCTGGCTTCAGATTGGTTCAGCTCCAGTTGTTGCAGTCACTTGGGGAGTGAATCATTGGATGGAAGATCTTCCTCTCTTTCTCTCCTCCTCTGTATATCCGCCTTTCTAATAAAAATTTAAAAATCTTTTTAAAAATTAAGAGTAAATGTTTACTTCAACAAAACTTGTCATAGGATAACTTCCTATTGGAACAAAGTAAAAATTTTACTACAAAATTTCTAACTGCATGGATGGCATAAACATTTCTTAGAATTTTGTAGACTCAAAACCAAACTATCTTACTACAAGGTATAGAAACATGCACTTTTACCCCTGGTAAATAGGGTAAAGTTGTCTCAAATTACACAGGAAAAATGAATTCAACACCAGAACATTTTATAAATGTTCAATCAACCAAACCTGAATGTACTACACAACTGTTTTGATTGTTTTAAGTTTTTGGGGCTGGCAAGTCAACCTTTTGTCTCAGTGTGTAAGTCAATAACTCCAAAATAAGTCGGTCTGTACTTCTCAACTTTTTTTTTTTTCAAAGATTTATTTTATTTACTTGAAAGGCACCGTTAGAGAGAGAAAGGTAGAGACACAGGGGGATTTTCCATCCTCCAGGTAACTTCCCAAATGGTCTCACAGTCTGGACAGTGCCAAGTCGAAGTCAGAGGCAAGGACCTTGCTCCAAGTCTCCCACATGGAGCAGGGGCCTAAGCACTTGGGCCATCCTCTGTTCTTTCCCAGGCACATCAGCAAGGAGTTAGGAAATGAAGCATCAGGACTCAAACTGGCATCCATATGGGATGCTGGCACTACAACCAGCAGCTTAACCTGGGGTACCAGAGGCCAGCCCCTGCTCCACTCCTGCAGCAGTTAGACACACAATTACAAAACATGATGCCTCAGTTTAAAACTGGGTGGCAAGGGCATCTGGCCTCACAGTTAAGAAGCTCAGAGCTTGCATCTCAGTGCCTGGCTCTAATATTAGCGCAGGCTCTTGGCAAGAGCAGACCCTAGGAAGCAGTGAAGATGGCTCAGGATAATTGGTCCCTGCCACCCACGGGGGAGACTGATTTGAGATCCTGGCTCCAAGCTTCATCCACCAACCCAGGGCTTCTGTGGGCATCCCTGGAGTGAACCAGCACATGGGAGCTTCCTTTCTCTGACTCTCAAATCAATCAAATTTTATAGGAACAAGATTGAGCTGCACATAAGATTGAAAAGCATCCCTTCTAGGTGCTCTAAGCCAACAGCAGAAGGTGATCTGTTAACACTGAAGCTACTCAACAGCCAGGGGAAGGGAGGAACGAGGCAGCACTTGATACCTGCCTCTCATCAATCACTCATGTGATCACCTCGCCTGCGTCCAGTATGTGGCCATCCATCTGGCTGCACTTCCACTCAAGCCCTGCCTTTTCTACAAGCAGAGTGTATCGTAGTATCTGAAGCTGCTTTTATCAGAGTCCAGTACCAAACACTCCTCTTATGTGTTCGGATCCACATCTTGCAGACAAATCATAGCAATACAAACAGGATTTTTTCTTTTTTTTTCTTTTAAGCAGGAATAAGGTGCTTATTCATAAGATATCAGGAAGTTGGAGAAGGGACTACAGGCTGAGCAAATAGCAATTTAATCTCTTCAATTAGAGGGAGAGCATCTCACAAGCCGCAGCGTGACGGACAGGAACAGATGCTGTGTGCAGTGAGACTGGCCTGGGAGGGGGCTGCCTGGTGAAAGGCTGCTGAGGAAAAGCGGAAGGCTTCCTGACAGCTGCATTTCCACAGAGAAAAACCTCAACCCTCAGGGGAAGTAATCAAGCTGGACATTCTTTTCACGCCATGATTGTACTTGCTGTGCCCAATGTGCCAACTTACAAGAGGGCACTTCCAAGAGTTCATGGGAAATGGAATTAAATGCTATATTTGGGTGCAAGAAAATTTTGAAATCTATGGATGCCTACTTTTA